CTCAAGGGAATACCTATTAATTACCATAGAATTTTAAAGATTAACCCTTAGATATGACTAATTATTAAATATCAGCACATTAGAACATGAATCCAAGAAAAGCTGCTAATAAATATCTTAATGTTTTTAGGTCAGATTTCTGCTAACTAGAGTATTTGAACTAATGCCTCACAGGATTTCTTTTGACTCCATGATAACTGCGGCATGAATAGGTAAGAGGAGCAATATCTATCCCCAGTGAGTTAAGAGTTCCTCTATCAGTAACACAAATAATGGATAAAGGAATATAAGCAGCACCCTTAGACTGGGCCAGGAATTGAAAAGGGACATTAACACAGTTGGTTGGAAAACAAACTAGTTGTGTGATATCATAGAACTTGACTTACATGACTAGGATTTGAGTATGATTGAAGTCCATTCATATTTCATGCCACTGTCCTATAATGCATGTGCTAGAATTCAACCAATACATTTGCCTCTTTTCTGTGAATTCTACTGCAGTGTATATCATACTGGTATCTTTCTCTATGTTTATGGAATAGTCCTAAGCTCCTGAAAAATAGGGGCATTTCATTTGTTCATTTTGTTCTGTAGCACTTAAAGCAAATTCATGCACAACTTCAGTTCTCTATGAATATCTATCCAGTGGGGAGCTTTCCAAGAGACTGTGGGGATTGTGAAGTATTCCTGCCCACTTCTATGTCCAATGCACTAAAGAATCTGTGTGATTTGATATACATGCAGTACATATTGGAGTGGAAAGCTTTATTTCTTACTTTTCTTTTTCTGTAAGAAGAATATATGACCAACACATCTTATAAATGAAGGTAGGTAATTGAGAGATTGTTTACAGTTTCTGTGAGTAAGTTCTTGACCATCATAGAGGGGAGCCCAGCAGAAAGCATGCAGGTATGATTCTAGAGAAGTAGCTGAGAACTTGTGTCTACTCTATAAGGTAGAGATAGAGTTAATAGAATGGTATGGGGTTCAGAATCCTCAATGCCCACCCTCAGTTATACACATCCTCCAACTAAGGAGCACCCCCTCCAACAAAGTCATATCCTCTCCAAGCCCACACCTCCAAATCTTTCCCAAAGCATTCCATAAACTGTGGACCAAGTATTCGAATGTATGACTCATTTTCATTCAAAGCACCACACATTATCATGTATGAAAATGTAAAATGAAATTCAAAGAGCTTACTAACCTGAAAACTGAACCAGCTCTATGAAAGTTTTTGTAAAACTTTGCCTGTGCCTTACCGTTTCATAATATTAGTGTGGTCACTTAGTTTTCATTAGATTTTTCAACTTATGTCAGGTAATTCATAAATAGTCTGTGAGTTAAATATGGCTAGATTAACTACATCATGTGCATGAGTGCCTCAGGTCTTCCCCAAATAAGTTCTTAGAAATTTTGTCTTTATTTGTTTGAGACATACAGAGCACTAACCATTATATGGATTATCTTTTTTTCTTTCTATTGGAGCAAAACAATACATTTTGCTATCTATGTAAAATGATTGCAAACCCTGAGAGAGATGAAGTATATAGAGACAGATATACACATGTTTGTATCATATACTAATGCTTTTGGTTCTATTTTAGCAGTAATGCTGTAAGTTGTTTTATATGAAGTCAGATGTGTTCATCAACCAAGGTCTCTGAGCTGTCTATGTTCTATTGTCCATCTAGATTTTACACTAACTTATTCAGAAGAACTAATAGGCAAATACACATGCATTCACACACATGCACAAATACATATACACACAGTGCATATTTAAATGTTTGTGGATAACAGAATGGAAAAATCATTCTTAATATTAGTAGTAGCAACCTGATTTAAATTCACTTTGTTGTATATAATAATGTTATGAAACAATAGTGCAATTTAAAAAGAGATTTAAAAAGTTTAGTTGAGTTAACCATTGCTAAAACTTACATGAAAATACCAAATGATGCTGCTATCCCAAACACTGTTGCTGACATGAGGTTGTTTGAATGTCCACACCTCGATGTTGGAACTATAACTAGCACAACTGCTTTAGGGAACTTATTGCCTGTGTCAGGTGAAGTTATCGTGTGTCTACCCTGTGGTAATACATTTCTGGTTCTAAATAAACTGCTGAACAGAAACAGTGTCATTATTCTGTCAACCACAGAGGTCTCCAGGAGAGTTGTACTTCTAGAAACTGAAGATAATGACCAAAGTCTGTACTTGAATTTTTGTTAACTCATATGGTAGCATTTGCGCTTGATATTTCAGTATATTTTGCTAACATTTTTATATAATTGTACATTTTTCTTGGTGCCTATTAAGTATACATTCTCACTGCCATTGTAAGTGGCTTCACTTCAGTTTCATTTGGTGCACTGAGGCAGTTAATATGCAAAAGAGGAAGAGATAAGCAATGGTTTGAAAATATATATGAATGTCTTAAAATGTTTGGGGATTCAAAAATAATATTGTCTGAGTTTTTGAATAGGATTTTCCAACTCTGAAACATGCCAATTTCAAGTGATGTGATCAGTTTTGTATTTGTTAAATTAGAAGCCCAAATGGAGCAGAAAAGTACACTCAACATAACAGAACAAATATCAAAGAAAATAGCTAAGCAAGAGACTCGGTTCTTGCCTCTGGTTCATATTTGATTGCTAAGCCATTGATATAGTACAGATTTTCTGGAAAACAAATTAATTTGTCATTATTATGACTCACAAAATGAAATACTTTTATGAATATTAATAAACACATTAATCAAAGTAAATTGAAGTTTTCTTTTAATATGGTTCTAGTTCATTTTCATATTAGGTTGGTATATATGTACCTTCAATACAGAACCCAAAATATTTCTCTCCTAAACAAATAGAGAAGTTGATCTTCCCATAAGACATTCATTATTTACATACTTACCTCCCTTCCATATAAATGGTTTCACACATTAAAAGTTTTTCAGTTTATCTTATGAAAATGTTTAAAGAAATTTTTAATTTATAATTAAATGTTTTCTTCAAAAGGTTTGGCATTTATTTAGCATATTATATTCTTCTTATTCTCTTCCCATTATCTATTCTCAGAAATATTATTATTAATGCAGAAAATCACAGTGGGTCAAAGTGCAGAGAGTGTTTATGGAATATTCAGCCATGGATGAAACACCAGCAACACAAACCCACCGCTACCACCATAAAGCTCAAGGAACATTTTGGAAAAGGGATGCATATGTAATAAGATGAAGGAATTGTGGAGGACCAAGGGGAAAGTTATGTTCTGGAAATGACAGTACCTCTGCACTCATGAATCCACAGAAAATGTCATTACCAGTAAAGAGATCTGCATCCAATCAAGGCAGTCAACATAGGAAGAATTAAGGTGGTATTGATGGAAAAGAGAGAGTCGACTTTCTTTAATTTTATGCCCTCTTGGTTGATCAACCATGCTCTAGTAAATAGCTCCATGGGTATATGGGAAGCACAAGTTACATTCAATAGGTTAAGAAAAACTAGAACAAATAAGAGGCTATAGAGCATAGAGAAGTGATTAAGAGAATAGGAAGTATCAGGGAGAAGTTAAAGTGGTGAATGGGTGGTAAATAGTACCAAAATACATTGTATGTATGTATGAAATTCTTAAATAATTAATAAAATATTATATTTAAATCTAAAATAATAATAAATATAATTTAAAATATAAAAGAAAATTATATTTACCTAATTCAGTCTTAGAGTTGAGCGTCTTAGCGTCAATCTCTATATATGCAAAATAAAAGAACGCCAGCAAATGAAGTCCTTTCTGTATTTCTCAGTATCTGGGTTCTGTCCTGGCAACTCATTTATTTAGAAATATCTGAACTTTCCAGAGAAAAATATGCAGCTGATTTCCTCTGGTGGTTTTCTTGTGAGACTTGTAAGTAAATAATCCATATAGAATTCATGGCAGGCACACTAGGGTATAGCTGATGATAAATGTACACATTTTTTCCATTTTATTTTTTCAATGTCTTTTTTCTACTATATGACATGTGGAATTGTCAATGAAAAATTATCAAACTAGAAAAATATTTATGAAAGTCCTAAAGTGGTCATTTGCTTTTCATTTTACTCAAGAATTATGGTGACTTGAAGTACACTTGATATCTATCTAGTTCAGTTTCTGTGGTACTTACTGGAAGCCCTGTGGCCTTCAGAAAGGCCGTGTTCGTGTATGCCAACAGAGGCTGGCGCTGGGTAGAAACTGCACCCTGTGTTTGTGTAGCTGTCTTCATATAGAGAACCAGCACAGCCAACTTCACGTTCAGTAAACGTTATGAAAATATAAGTAGGAGATCAACAAAGGAAAAAAATGTCTGCTAAATTACTGTTATGTGAGAAATGATTATTACTGGTGAGATGTGATAAACTTTAGAGTTCACAGTGCTTTATTAAAAATAAGTTTTCCTCTTCCACAAAAATTTCCACAATTCTCTTTAATTTTGTTTGTCTTTCCATGTCTTATTATTTGGCCTGAGCTAGCTTTACACTCACAGTTCTGCCTCAGCCTCTCAATTGCTGCTATTAAATTACTAAATTATTAATTTCAAGTAAACTTATATTTTACTCTATCTATAAAAGAATAATTTACAATTTCTTACAAATTTACATATAAATGATGTTAGGTGAAGAATTCCAGAGTATGATAAAGTAAGTTTTAGAAAGATTCATGAGTAAAACCAAAGCTGGATGAGTTAGTACAAATGTATAATGTCAGCACTTGGAGGCAGAGGCAGGGGCATCATAAGTTTGGATCAGCCTGGTCTATCAGTCTGCTCAGTGCTACATGGGAGGCTCCTTCTCCAGAACAACCAAGCAGACAACGAAATGAACTCGTGCAATGACACACGCTTCTTTAAAATACTTGCAGATCATTTTATGAACACTTAAATGAAATAAACCAAGAAGCAGTAACTTAGACGAGTATGCAGTCTTGAGTAGTCATTTCCCACATCTGATCCATCTTACCTCTAGAACCAGTTGCTGGAGAGATGGAGATGCTACTGGATGCAGACTGGTGTTGCCACGGACAGGACTATGGAGGCTAATGTAAGCCACGGCATTCTTTTGGAGAATCCTTGCAAAATCCTGAGATAAAAATATTTAAAGTTTTACCATTGGGGCAATTAAGATAACATGTTCTACCTTGTTAGGCCAATACACACTTGGATGTTAAAATACGATTTTTATCTGAAACACACCTAAAATATCTTTGTATGTTAAGGCTAACCCTTCTCCTTTTGTATGTATTCTTCCTCCAATCAGACTGCTGCTAAAATAATACATGTATAAAGTAACCATTTTAAGAGAAAAGTTGAAAGGTTAGTATAATATTCAGTACAATTACAGAACACAGATAAGGAATTTTCTTCAATGATGGTGTCTAATGTTATAGTTATTGAATTAGAACATAATTGGTGAGTTTCACTGGTTAGAGCTGACCAACATTTACTGTGAAGTAGTAAGCTAATTTGCATCAATAAAGTATTAATTTTGAGGAAATTTGGAAAAATGAGCACTGTGAACCTGAAGATATTACCTTATAAAAATCCTCATGAATGCTGCAGGTACTAATGGCATGAAATGACTCAGTAGCATGGTATTGCACTTATGACCCCTGCCCTGCTGTATTAAAGATATCTGACAACACACTGTGAGAAGAAAGAGCAGAGGCATTTTATCCTTGACTTATCTCTATTTACTGTTGCAAATTCATCTTCAGATTGAGAGAGAAGATTAATTATTTAAAAGTAATTTATCTTTCAAATGAACACATGAGTGATTAAAAACACTTCAGTAATTTCACGTATAATGTGGTAAAAATATCCATTATTACTCACATTCTATAAAAACAATTATTATAACACATGAACACATAAACAATTCCTCTTTCAGTAACTGTGGTTTCCACGAACACCACAGGAGACAGACAGTCATGTCCTTGAGGAATCTAATCTCACAGGAATCAAGTTTGTTAAAATAACATGTCTATGATAGAAAATATCTGAACTCTTTTTTCCTTACTCTAAAATTTGTAATATTTCCAGAGGAGCATGTGAAAAAAATTCTTCATATAAGGAATGGTGCTTTAAGATATCCTGTTTTAGGAAATTCCATAATTTCCCACAAGGATCAATGTCAGTGCTCAGTCAATTCTCTATTACTTGCATGACTAAAATTGCCATTTACAAGTTTATTGAACAACTTCGCTTAATCCTGTTAACCTAAACAGGGTTTCCAGGGGTTTCTGTGCAAGTAAAATTATAGAGGGCAAGGCAGGACATGAACCAAGGTTTTTCTTGTTTACCTCCACTCAAGATCAGCATAAATGAAAGTGTCTCATTTTTAGTAGGCACAAATTTCATAAAAGTAAATGTAACGAATGACCAAGGGTCTATGCTTCCCTTCAAATGGATGGTGTTTAAATATTTTAATGGGATACAGTAGTGCAATATATTATATAGAAAATTACAGATACATTTTTATTAGCCAATGGGGAACTCTGAAAGCCCTTGATCAATATTTTACTTATTTCTTTGTCCTTCTACTCATTTAAGAGTTCAGAAGGTAACTAAATGTCTAAATTTGCTCAGCTTCTCTCTCTCTGTCTCTCTCTCTCTCTCACAGACACACACACAAGCAACCTACATATATACTTGTTTTTAATTAAATATAAATACATTTCTATATGTATATTTATAGCTAATTGAAATAGAATTACATCACTTTCATTCCCTCAGTTCTTCCTTCCACCTCTCCTAAGTACCCTCACTCCAAACCCTTCTAATCAATTCATCCTTAAGTTGATAACCAATTTATTACTATCACTATATTCTTATACATGCATATATATGAACAAATATATGACTACAACCCACTAAGTCTGTTTTTGTTGTTTGATGTATACAAGTAAATATTCTATTCTTTTGAACTCATGTACCATAGCAGTTTTTATATTTGGTCTCTGTTTGAGAAGTAATTGAGTTGTCAAAACAACAATGAATTCACAAAATACTTTAAATAAATTTATATTTTATGAGGCACAAAATATTTATGTAGTTTGAAAAATTGCTCCCATACATGCAAATCCATATTTCTATAATTTGAGCATGTGATGACTGACAGCTAAATACTTGCAAGGAAATTTTGCAATAAAATTCTCTATCAAATTGGGTTTAAGATATATTGCTTAGGAAATAAGGTGATAAAAACCTGTTTTGTGAATGTGGTTTATACATACTTATTAATTAAATATTAATATAAATTATTTGTGGAAGTTGTAGACATAATGGAAGCTGTGTAAAAACTTACTTTAAGATGTTTTCTTAACATTTATTAAAAGGAGAATCATAATCTCATTGTTTGATAATTATTTAAAACAGTACTAACTCATAAACATGAAAAAGCTGTTTTTAAATTGTTTTACTGATTTTGAAGCTATGAAATAAACTTTAAAATTTTGTTTCAGGGGTTATTGTTTTTTCTCCTGGAATTGAAAAATTTCTCAAACAAAGTAATGTCTTCATTGGAATTACACATTTTGAAATAGAACCTTCTCACTACTTGCTTAAATACCCTCAAATAATCTCACTTGAGGACTTTGCGAGTATTGTTAAGCTTACTTACACCAGTAAACATTTTCTCAGCTTTAAGATTATTTCTCTGTCTAAAAGTACATGGTGTTTTTCTTTTTCTTTTTTAAATAATATTTTATTTCATGTGTATTATCCCCTAAGTAGAATTATAATTATTAAGTAAACATTACTGCAAGTGATATGCAGGTGTGTAGGTCTTAGAGCAATGGACTAAGATTAGTTACAGGTCACACAGAATCCACAAAGAAATAACTCATATTTTCTCTTTTCAGTTAGCAGACAGGAAGCAGTTTTGAGAAGTTCATTATTTTCTTTGCCTTCAACAATATTAGACTATAATATCTGGAAAATAAAAGAATGGAGGGGAAAAGGAAATAAAATAAGTATAATTTATGAATATGTTTCACCTCTCCCCATTCATAGGAGCCAATATTGCCCCAAGTTGTTCCTCCCCATGAACAGAAAACAATAGTACGTTCTGGTCTCCATCCTTTCTTCACTCTTAACATCAAGGCTCGGATAAATGCTGTGATTATTGCAGTACTGCTGGCCCAATCTTGTCCATTATAACTGTATCCAGCATGGTGGTTACTGCCAACTATAATATACCGATCTGGAAATAGAATAAAATAAGAACTATTAAAACAAAATGTAAACGTCAACAATGAGTTTAATGACATTTACATAAGCCTATTGTACAAGTAAGCAACAATTAAGCCAAATTGTTTTGATAATTAATGCCACTTTAGCATTTTCCACCCCCTTTCTTGAATCATATGTCTGGGTATATCAATGCAGAAGCAGCTGCTAAAGTCAATTATGAATGCACAGCTTAGATCCATATCCTCTGCAACATGAATATTAATTAATGAAGTATACAAATGTACCACAATGAATTCTTATCTATCATTTTTCCAGCATCATGGTGGGAAGTGCACAGCAAACAATGTCTGTGTGCCTAGTGAATAGCAATGAGCTATTAATACAGCTGAAAAAGAAGTGTCTTAGGAGCTGTGTATGTTAAAAATTGCTAGTCATGTATAGATTTTTAAGAAAGAATAGGTATTTAGAGATATATTTATAGTTTCAATTTATACTTTGAACCCTTCTCCATTCTCTGAAAGAAAATAAAATTCAGCACTATCAAGCCAAGGCTAATGGTAATTTAACTTTCCCCATATTTTATTTCATGTAGTCACACAGTTCATTAGATGTTCCTATAGAAAACTTTCCATGATTCCTGGATTGTCCTTTCAGTGTGTTTCACTGACTATTCACACCATTAAAATTGGATCAAAATATAGCTTCAAAGAGTTCTCCTGTGTTTTTTTATTTTGTTGTTGCTTTTGTTTGTTTGTGGTTATGTTTTGGTCAGTGTATGCTATTCATAACAGCAACAGATCTCACTTTATTTGATCAAGTAACCATATGCAATTACGAAAGAACATTCTCATTGTTTGATTATGAGATGTTCCATGTAAGTATACAGGCAGGGGTCAGGAAGCAGGCACAGTGGATGTAGGCACTATGACTTCAGTTTGAATCTGGGACTCACCTGGTAAAAGGAGAGACATGACACCTGTAAATTGTCCTTTGACTTCCATATCTTACTAATGGTAACCTCATATGATTATGTACATAAGAGATATAAATATCAATGTGATTTTTGAAAAGTATGCCAGCTTTGAAGGAATCTGTGTTCATATTTACCAAACCACTAGTTGTGTGGCCACTGGAAGTTTGTTTAAACTATCTGTGCCTTTCAAATTTTAATCTCTCTATGTAAAACAATAAAAACAACTAATGGATACCTCATTCCATAATTTAAAGTACTTCATTATTTATAAGCCACTTTGAACAGTATCTGACATAAAGTAGGCCTTGCATCTACATGGATGAAATGAATTATCTTTAACTACAGAAGAACAAAGATTGTTAAAAAGAATTATAATGGTATAAAAGCATTTAAGCTTTTATTACTGAAATGGAACCAGCATGGATTTAAATCTTTCACCACTATCATTAGCTGCACATAATGGGTCATAGGGCTATATTCAACGTTATATAACTATATATTCAAACACTAAATGTATGGGCATTTTCCCCTCTTCTCCCAGAAATGTCTGAAAATTCTACTTGAGATGAACTCTATCTTTAATGAATTAATAATCAATGTATGTACCTGGATTTTATCATCAGTAAATAAGAAGGTCTCATGTACAAGAAATCTTTTTTAATTTATATGGGATTCTTATTAAGCAATATTTGAGAATTTTTTAATATAAAACTTCCCTTTTGGTAGATTAAAATTCCATTAGCATGAATCTGGTATACTTTTTGTACAACTGTGTTTACTTGTGATGAACTACAAATGGAATAGTGATAATAAGTATTCTTATACTTCAACTGAATTTGCTTATAGTTAAAGTCACTGAAATGGGTGAGATACAGTCATATAGACTTCCAAATTCATTTATGTCTGTGTCTAAGGATGCTTCAGTGACAAGTTATACAATAAAGGAACCAAGGAAAACAAATACATTGTATGAATTTTTTAAGAGTTGGCTGTCAAGGAATAGGGAAGAAAGAAACTTGATTTCAAAATTCTCTGGGTCAGCAATTAGGTCAGTTTAACTAGTGTCACAGAGAAAAACAATTCTCCAAGGAGAGATGAGTAAGTGTCCAAGTCATATCCACAGAAGTGGGTTGAGTGCAGTAAAACTTTAATGGTGTTCTGGAGATGGCAGATTGTGAGTGAGTTAAAATACTTAGCCCACACAAGCAATGGTCTGAGATCAATCCCTAGAACCTGTGATAGAAGGAGTAGTAATTCCCGAAATTTGTCCTCTGATGCCCAACATGCCACTGCTGTACCCATAATATCTCTCACACACATACATAATAAATGGCTATTTAATGAATAAAAACAGTGGTAAACTGCGTGTGCTCTCATGGCCATTCAGTGATTTGGGATCATTCCATCTTGTGATGAGTCAGAGTGTGCTGGCATTAGTCGATTAACTGATAATGTATCAAATACTTTTAAAGATTCCATCAACCATTCAGAAGAAGGTGAATGTAAGTCATTTAAAGTCTAATCAGATGATTATTTCCATAAAGACCTTTCAATCCGAAAAGCACACAGACATTGGGAGAATTATGAGTGGACAATATATTCAGGCTGAGGTACAGATTTATATTAGAAGCTTTTGTTTTGAGACCAAAACTTGATTTGTTTTTAACAACTGCATCATTAAAACTTATAATATTTTCTTTAAATTATTTTGTCATTGGACTAAAATTGTCCATAGTATCATGGAAAGAAAATAAGAAAAAATATTGCCTCTTGATTTCCACCTATATTTTTTAAAAAAATATTTCCACCTATATTTAACAAATATAAACTCTCTCTCTTGTCTCCTGTCTTGACTTTACACACACCCTGCCTGCTGATGCTTAGTTTTCATGAGGCGTGGAAGAAAAGAAAGGAAAACATATTTCCAGCTTTCATATCAATCCATTCTTTTAGTCGTCTAAACCTCTAGTTACATATGAAGAAGGATACTCAACTCTATGTCAAAATTATTATGGGACATAGGACATTTTTGGTCATTTCATATGAATTAGGAACTAGATTATAGCCTCTTAACCCAACTTACCTGGTGATGTCAAACCTTTTAGATAGCCAACAACATTCGTCACTGTTTTAAATGTTGTTTCTGTCTGTATTTGCAAGTGTACAGTTCTTTTCTCTGCAAAAAAAGGAAGAAATTAAAACACATATACTGTTGTGTCTCCTTCAAAACATTAGTTGCTTATCTAGTACCACCAGTAAAAATAACTCCACATGATTCACCTTTTCCTCATAGCTAAAGCTACACTTTTTGTTGCCAAATATTAAGAATATTTTATGCTGACTCTACTTTAGGTATTTGTCCTGTTATTATCACCATGACATAACTACCAGTTTCCTGCTCTGAAAACCATGAAGAGACAAGCCTGAATCTCTTGTTTGTTCCAGCACAGGGTTTAACATAAGTATACACAGGAAAATGCCGGGGGAATTGGGAATGTTATAGTTTGCAAAGAGAGAGAGAGAAAGGCAGATGCAATTATTTCTGTTAATGTTAATACTTTCCTGTCTTCAGAACATGAGGGTAAGCCAAACACACATTTTCTCTGTGTGACTCACTGTTCTATCAATATTGAAAACTGTATATACAATATGCTATAAGTATTATCCCTAATGCCTATTTTCATACAATACAATCTATTTTACTAGATTACATAATAAACCTCTACTAATTTCTCTATTTTTATTTTAAATTTTCATTTGTATTGATGTTTTGCTTGCATGTGTTCTGTGTCCCATGTGTGTGCACTGCCCATGGAGGTCAAAAGAGGAAACTGAATCCCTAGGGACAGGAGTTGGTAATTGAGGATGATTATTTTGTTTAGCTTAGCTTAGAAAACACTTTATTGGGCCTGGCAACATGGCCAAGCAGTTTATTCCTAGCTGATGATCTGAGTTGCATACCTGGTAGAAGGAGAAAACAGAATTCAGAAAGCTGTTCTATGACCTCATGCATGTAACATGGTTCTTACATGCCACTTCCAATAAATAAATAAGGTTAATAAATTATTTTAAGAAGGTTAAAAACTTCCTTATTCTAATTACATGTAATTCACATGCTCTTCAAACATTGGAAACACTGAAACTGAACTTTTTTCAGGTTGATATCTTAATCCAAGTCTTGAACTGTGGAAAGTAAATTGCTATTATATAATTTATTTGTAGTTTGTCTTACTGAACTTGCTATCATATAGATTTATAATACATATGGGTCTATTTTTAGCTTTACTGTTGTGTTCTAATTACCACATCATCACTGCAATTACTTCCTGAATTTGACTGCATTGCTGGACTTTTACTTTCAAATGAATTTCTAAAATTTCATGTTTATTGCTTTTGCTTTTTTTTTCCATTAGGATTCCAAGGCACCCATAGACCTATCTGAGGAAATGATACTCGTTCTTAAAGTATACAAACATGTTATATTTCCCAGTTGATTTCACTTGCCTTTATATCTGTCAACAAAGTTTTATATTTTCTCCTCAACAGTTTTATACAATTGTTGAATTTATTTTCATTGTTTCATACCTATTTTTGTAACAATTTATATTGCAGACAAGAATATCACTTTTATACTTTTGATTTATAATGAATGCTTTGGCTAATCTTCAATTTCATAGTAGTTTACCCATAGAGTTCTTTTTTTAACATATAAGTTTTACAATTGATTTTTATGGATTTCCCAGTCCTTCCATGTCTGTCCTCCACCCCTGTAGCCTCTTCCCTGTTCAAAGAAAAAAAAATAGAGATAAAAATTTTAAAATAATTACTTCCCTCCTTTAGTGTCCCTGCTTCCCCATCACATTTCAATTGTTGTAGTGGCCTTGGGAGCTTCAGTGTGTCATACCACATACCCTTTTTCCCAAACAGCTTTCCTTACAAATGTTTATTGCAATGAGTCATTGGTCTGGTTCAAGGTCTCTAGCATGTAGTACACTGGACCCTCAGCGAGATTCATCTTGGGTATTCTGCCATTGCTCTGTATCTTTGAGATCCCGAGGTTGTTGTTCCACAGGACCAGTCCCTTCAGGCACTCCAGGAAGTCATAGATGGGGTAGATGTTGTGGTGGGCCAACTCAAAGACCTGAATGTGGGCCTGGATAGTAGCTGAGTTGGTAAGCCCCGACTTCCACCTTGAGCCCCTACCCCAGGAGCATAGCCAACTCTCCCTTACCCTTTCCACTATGACCAACTCTCCCATGGCAGAAAGGGGCAGAGCCAGCTCAGGAAAACTCTTGGACATTAACATGGCCTCAAGTGCCAGGCCAGACCACGGGCATTCTCACAGCTTCTGGTGGTACAACAGGTCACAGACATCAACACAGATGCAGTAGGACCACGGAACCAGACATGGTCCTTGGTAGCAGCAACAGCATGGACATTACCATGGCCTCTGGTGGCAGTGCATGACTCTCACATCAACCTGTTAATGACCGGCTGACACATCTCCAGTATTGCCTCCCTCCACAATACATTCTCCTTCTCTCCCAATCTATAATATATTCTTGCTCATTGTAGTGACACTCATTCCGTCTGGTCCACACAGCATGGTGACATACTGGATGTGTAGCCTCTCAAGCTCTAGGGTTCTTGAAGTTGGTAGTTTTCCATGAATACAACTCATTTCCACCCTTTCATATGTATATACATGAGTGTCTGTTTGTGCACATGAGGAAACCAGAGGTTGACATATGGTATCTTTCTCTATTGCTTAATTTTCATGTATACGTGACTAAGGTATGGGCTCATGCTTGGGAGCACATGTGTGTGTGTGTTTATGTCTCTGTGTGTGTATGTATGTCTGAGTGTATTTCTGTGTATGTGCACACAATTATTTTTTCATGCCTGAATGTGGAGGCCTGATACTGACATCAGGAATCCTTCTTGATTACTATCTACCTTATTCATTGAGGCAAGGTCTCTCAGTTTAGCCTATAGCTACATAATATGTCTGTTTTCACCAGCCAGTTTGGTCTGTGGGTTCAAAAAATGGGAATTAAAAAAACTGGAAAGTTGATACATCCAAATCAGCTTTTACTTGACTTCTGGGAATACAAATTCCCTTCTTCACAATCCTATGGCAAGTATTTGGCAACTGAGTCTCTCACTTATCCTCAACTTCTCCAACTAGCTAAACAGGCTGGTAAGCAAGATCAAGGGGTCTGCCTATCTCTACCTTCCAAGGCTGAGATCACATAGATTCCCCCACTGAGCCATCTGCTTAACCTTCTTGCTTACTGCTAGCAAGCTATCATTTTGCACTAGAGTCCATGCAGAGAGAAATGGACAAAAACAGTGTTCTTTGATCTTTACCTTTTATTATTAACTTAAACAGAATGTTTTTAACATTTTATCTCTTAAAACATTCTTGATATATATTTCTGGGAAATTCCTTTTACCAAATTAAGAAATTCAATTCTATTCTTATTTTGCTAAGAGGTTTTCCCACAAGCAGAAGTTGACTCATTTACAGAGATAGCTGGAAGCTTTTCACTTTACAGTATTTGCAGATATGTACATTTCTGGAATGAGCTGCACTTTGTCAAGACATGTCCTATACATGGTGATATATTCACATGCCAACTACACAAATATACATGTAAGTATTTATTTGGTAACTTTATATCTCCTTTTACTGGATTACTTTTGATATGCAGATTATACAAACTTCCAAATATTCTGGGCATCTTTCTTCCTCTTACAGATTCTATTAGATTATGAAAAATGTGGAATATCACTTGCACAAAAGGTAGGATTCAAATATGAAATTTTACTTTGGTTTTCTTACTATTGTACCATTTTTTACTGAATGTACTGTTGTTATTAACCTAATTTCTTCATCTAAATGCTTTGGTCACTACTTTTTAATTTTTTAATAATCTATCTATTCTTTTACATTTCATTTCACATTCCAACCACAGTTCTCCCTCCCACCCCTCCTCCCACCCACCACCAACCCCCCCCTCAAGCCAACCCCTAGTCCATTTCTCACAGGTAAGGGTTCTAATGTGCAGGCAACAAAGTCTGACACAATAGGTTTGGGCAGTGCTAAAACCATCTCCCATGCATTAAAGCTGAGCATGCTCTCCCAATATAGGGAATGGGATCCAACAAGCTAGCTCATTAACAAGGTTTTTATCGTGATCCTACTGCTAGGGGACCCTCTGATAGTTCAAGCTTCACAACTGTCTTCCACACATAGAGGGCCTAATTCAGTCCCCTGGAGTCTCCACAGTTTTAGGTCTAGAGTTCATGAGCTTGATTCAGCTGTCGCTGTCGCTGTAGATTTCTCCATCATGATCTTGACCTCCCTTGCTCATATACTCCTGCCTCCCTCTCTTGGACTGGATTCTGGGAGCTAGCCTGGTTCGTTTTTGTGGATCTATGTGCCTTGTTCCATCAATTGCTGGATGAGGGCTCTATGATGATAGGGTATTCATCAATCTGATTACAGTTGTAGACTCTCTATTAAGGTATCTTCTTCAATGCATCCCAACCCACTTTACTATCCCGTTTCCTCATGTTCTCATCTGTCCTCCTCTCTCCCTTACTACCCCATTCCTTGTGTACCCAGTAGATCTCATATAATTCCTTTCCCAGGGTGGTTCATGTGTCCTTGTTAGCATGCTCCTTGTTATCTGTCTTCTGTGGAGCTGTGGGTTATAGCCTGGTTATCCTTTATATCTAATTACTTTACATCTAATATCTGCTTATGAATGGATAACATATTGTGTTTGTATTTTCCTGTTTGGGTTACCTCACTCAGAATGGTTTTTTTCCAGTTCCATCCATTTGAATGGGTATATTCCCAAGAGTTGTATCACTGGGTCTTTAGGAGATTGATTCACAATTTTCAGAGAAACCTCCAAACTGATTTCCAAAGTGGCTGTATAAGTTTTCACTCCCACCAGTAATGGAGGAGAATTCCCCTAACTCCACATCCTCTCCAACATAAGCAATTCTCAGTATTTTTGATCTAAGCCATTCTGGCAGGTATAACATGTTATCTCAGAGTCATTTTGATTTGCATTCCTCTTATGATTAAGGATGTTGAGCACTTCTTTAAATGTATTTTGGCCATTTGAGATTTTTCTAGTGAGAATTCTCTATTTAGCATTG